CTACTACTACTACTACTGCTACTACTACTACTACTACTACACTACTACTACTTACTAGTCGTCGTAGTAGTCACAGTAGTAGTCGCAGTAAAGCAGTAGGAGTAGTCGTAGTTAGTAGTATAGTAGTATAGTAGTGGTATTAGTAGTGTAGTAGTATTCAGTAGTAGTAAGTAGTGTAGTAGTAAGTAATAAGTATTAAGTAGTAAAGTAGTAATGTAGTAAAGCAGTAGGTAGCCGTAGTAGTAGTAGTAGTAGTAGTAGTAGTAGTAGTAGTAGTAGTAGTAGTAGTACTAGTACTAGTACTAGCACTAGTAGTAGTAGTAGTAGTAGTAGTAGTAGTAGTAGTAGTAGTAGTAGTAGTAGTAGTAGTAGTAGTAGTAGTAGTGGTAGTCGTATTCGCATTCGTTGTATCATTCTCGTCCTCCTGCTCCTACTCCTGGCGACGGCGTGCTACCGGAGGCGTGCTTCCCCTCATCCTCCCCCTCCTCCTATGATTATCCCTCCTTCTTTTTCTTCTCCTCCTCCTCCTACTCCTTCTTCTCCTCCCGACCCTCCACCTTCCCCCCTCCTCCCACTCCTTCCGTCCTCCTCTCTCCCCCTGTCCTCCTCCCTCCTCGTTTTCCTCCCAGTGCAGAGGTGAAGTGGAAGGCTGGCAAGGTGGGCTCGGTGCCCGTGCTGCGCAGGCTCCTGGAGCTGCGCAACAAGTCCATGCTGCCGTCCAGCTGGCTGCAACAGGGAATCGGTCACGCTGCCGAGCAGGATGGACAACGCCGTCGTCGATCCTCAACTGGGGTTCTCGTACGGTTTCGTCAGTTCCTCGAGGTGTTCCTGCCTCAAGATGCGTTCCGGCAGGGGCGCCTTGCCGAGAGCGTTCCAGGGGTGCCCGAGTCGTCCCGGACGGCCGCCAGATGCCCAGGCTATTGCCCGAGAGGGCACCCGGGCACCCCTCACGGCCAGCCCGAGACGGCCTACGGTGTCCTCGAGACATCCTGCTCTGTTGTGGCGTAGTAATGCAGAATTGGGGAGGAGGAGGAGGAGGAGCGAGGGTGAGAGGAGGAAGAGGGAGAGGAGGAAGGAGGGGAGGAACGAGGAGGAGTGGAGGAGGAAGAGGAGGAGGAGGAGCAGGAGGGCAGGAAGAGGATGATGAGGATACTGAGGATGCGGCTGAGGATGCGGATGCTGGATGATGCAGCCTGCAGCATGATGATGATGTGATGAATGATGATTGTGATGTGGCTGACATGAATGATGATGCTGAATGCCGGAGGAGGAGGGAGGAGGAGGAGGAGGAGGATTCGGATGAGAATTAGGATGAGGATGGTGAGATGATGGCATGAGGATGATGATGATGATGATGATGATGATGATGATGATGATGATGATGATGATGATGATGATGATGATGATGATGATGGTGATGGTGATGGTGATCATGATGATGATGATGATACTGATGACGATGATGATGATGATGATGATGATGATGATGATGACGATGATGATGATGCTGCTGATGCTGATGCTGATAGCGATGCTGCTGCTGATGCTTATTATGATGCTGCTGTTGCTGATGCTGATGATGATGTTGCTGCTGATGATGCTGATGCTGATGATGATGATGAGGAGGAGGAGGAAGAGGAGGAGGGTGGGAAGGACACACATGTGAGGAGGGAGGAGGAAGGAGGAGGGGGGAAGAGGATTAGCGGAGAACGTGGAGCATGGGGAAGAGCAGACGCTAGAATGAGGGAGGAGGAGGAGGAGGAGGAGGAGGAGGAGGAGGAGGAGGAGGAGGAGGAGGAGGAGGAGGGTGTGGAAGAGGAGAAGGAAGAGGAGGAGGAGGAGAAGGAGGAGGAGGAGGAGGAGGAAAAGAAGGAGGTGGAGGAGGAGGAGCAGGAGGAGGAGGAGGAGGGGAGGAGGACCAGTGTAAACCCAGGAGTCATCAACGGCGTTGGAATAAACCCTCCCTTCAAGTTTCCTTTTCATAGGCCCCTACAACGGTTCATTTCCATTTCAGGGAACTGCCTCGTTGGAAGACAACCTTTTGAAGACCCTGAAACATTCTAAAACACTGTTCTCGGGATTCCAACGCCACGGATCAACCTAACTGTTGCGTATTGACGATCCTGAATTGTGCCAGAGCGCCATTCTTGGGACTCCAACACCGTGAATCAACGTAACTCGTGCACCCGCATAATCCTGAATCCTTCCAAAGCGCGATTTCTGGTACGTTGATCCTGAGAATCCGTGAAACTCCTTGCAAATGTTAGAAAAGAATGTGCACGGCGCTAAGGCAGAGGCAAGAGCCACATTTTGAAAAGGAACCGCTCTCAACCCGTGAAACTCTTGCAAATGTTTAAATCGAATGTGAGCGGCGCTAAGGCGAGAGCCACATTTTGAAAAGGAACAGCTCTCAATCCGTGAAGTTCCTGCAAATGTTTAAATCGAATGTGCGCGGCGCTAAGGCGAGAGTCACATTTTGAAAACGGGCTGCCCTCAATCCGTGAAGCTCCTGCAAATGTTTAAATCGAATGCGCGCGGCGCTAAGGCGAGAGCCATATTCTGAAAACCTCCCGCCCTCCATCTGTGAAACTGTTGCCAATGTTCAAGCTTCAGGGTCATAACTGGTGTGGAAGTCTGAGGCGAAACGCCCGGCCCGCCCTTAACTGGCCTCGGGGTGCGACAGGGAGAAGTTACTTATTAGGAAAAGGAAAGGAGGAGGAGGGAGAGGAGGGGAAGGACATGGGCTGCTGGATGATGAGGGGGCCCGCCAGAATCGGCACCCCTCTCGTGGGATCTGCGATGCGATATATTGTGCCGTACGGGAAGTTCTTGGACCGATCGTGCGGCGATTCGGCCCCATCCCGTGATCGTCCTCGTCGTCGTCGTCGTCGTCGCGGTCGTCGTCGTCGTCGGTGCCGTCTTTGTCGTCGTCGGCGTCGGCGTCGGCGTCGTTGTCGTCAGGCGCCCGGCCCCCCCCCCCGCGGGGCCCGACGATGTTACCGTTACCCCCCCAACGGGGGCCCAACTCCCCCCCCCTGTAAAGGACGTTACGGGGGGGGGCCGGGATAAGCATGCTCCTCCCACTCAAGCCCATCCCCCCGCCCATGCCCTTCACCCCATCACCTCCCCATCACATCCAATCACCTCCCATCCCCTCTCCTCCCATCCCATCTCCACCATCCCCTTGGGACCGTCTTGTGGCCCTCTTGGGCAAGCTGCGCTACCCCAGGAAGTTCTCGGCAATCCTTCGGAATCCTTGGGAATCCTTGTGAAACCGGTGGTCCGGGCCCTTCAAGCCTTGCAGCTCTGTATTTCTAAGGGCTGCATGAGTGTCTCTGCTGCGATATATTTTGCCGTATGGGGGGTCAGGGGTCACGAGCGCGTCTCTCCCAGATGTGGCTGGTCGTGAGGAGGGGGAGAAGGAGGATGAGGAGGCGGAAGAAGCAAGAGGACGGAAGCAGATCCAGGATGCGTGGATGATGCTGTGCTGCACCCTCCGTCCCAAGTCCCCTCCTCAGACTCGCGGCTGGAAGCGCCCCCTTGAAAGACGAGCGTTTCATCGGCTGGCCATGCAGGCGAGAGCCCCGTTGCGAATAAGCACCGCTGTACGTAAGAAGTACGTAGATAGGGGAACAAAAAGTGGCATAAACATAACAACTCGGAGGTCTGCGCGGATTTCTCGGATCGATCCGTTCCGTCCAGATCCACTTCGACCCGCTTCTGCATGCCGGCAGAAAGTGAGGGGTACTGCGAAACCTCGACAGATCCATCCAATTCGATTGCACGCAAGAGTGACCTTTGGTGCGTGCCCACTGGGGCCCCCCGATCGCCGAGTGCGGTGCGATAGTGACGTCTTGTACGCTTGTGTTTGGTCCCCCCGCGGCCCTCAAAACGCCGCGCGCCAACGACCAGTTTTGGCGACCACAAAGGGTATGGTTACGCCAGGGTGTGGTTTGCGATCGGTACCGTTGGGGCCTGGAGAGCACGACTCTGTCCTCGTCGGGCCTCCTCGGGGCGCGGCGGAGAGCTCTGTCGAGGTCCTCGCCCGCCCCCCAGGGTGCCCCCCAGGGTGCCAGTTGCAAACCACACCTTTTGCAACCCACACCCTTCGGAGTCGCCGACAGTTATTTCGGTAAGAGAATGAAGAACCCCAGGTAATAAGTGCGACCACTGCTTCGGGAATAGTGCAAGATGTTCAATGAGAGCCCCGTCTTGAAAGGAGTCTCCGTCCATCCATCCGTCCGCTTTTTCTTGCTCCCATGATCTCCTGGTCATGATATTTGGGGAAGTTACGAGTTACTCGTGAAACAAATTCAAGTTCGGGTCTTCATGCCTGAATGAGGCGAGATGCCGATCTTGAATAGGAATCGCATTCCATCCGTGTCATTGTTTGAAGCGTGTGTTACACATTTTCCCAGCGCTAAGGCGATGCTACATTGCGAAAGGGAGCCGCACTTCATCCGTCTAACGTTTGGAAGTTGATTCGGCGAATGTGCGCGGGGCTAAAGCCCCGCGCACATTCGTATCAGTTCTGGTGGTTTCAAGCTTCAGGACCAGTGGTGAGGAGGTCTCAGGCGAACCTCCATGCCCGCCCTGCCGACACTTCGGTCGTGAGGCGGGCAGAAAATATTCCAATCGCTTCGCTCATGCCGCCTGCCCATGCTGCATACTCGTTGGCACTTGCCTGCGTGCTCGCGGGAGCCGAGGGGGTGGTGGCGTGAACCTCGCTTGGGGGAGAAACAGTGGCAGGGTACATACAAAGCATCACTCAACGGAACACGCCTGCAAAGAAGTCCTGTCAGCGAAGCCCTTGAACGCGCCCACGCGCCAGATCCACGGATCCGTAACCCATGTCAGCGTGCGCCCGAGACGTGGTTCCCGCCGCCTTTGGCAGGTGTCGCTGCTGAGGGGCAACGCTTGGTGGCTGCCCCCGACAGGAGGGTGCCGATCCCTCCGAGTGGCTGGAGCAGAAGGCCGGCATCGTTTGACCGACATCCCCA